GTCATGTTGGTTTGTGTCTCTCACCTTGCTTTTCTTATGTGTCACGGTACTTTTTATCAAAGAAACCACCACAAACAAAAGGGAATTTTAAGAATCCCATGGCATTTAAAAGCCACAAATGCCTAAATACCCAAGGATTCAAGGTGGTGCAAATAGGCCAACTCTGCACCCACTGAATGTTTTACTACAGCCTGCAGCAGGGCTTGGAGTTTGGCCAGAGCTAACTGGGAATCTCACAGATCCTTGTTTTATCAATAATTGTCTGGAAAAGCCTTCAGTGGAGGTATTGCACCATTACATGTCACAAATGGTTTAAAAAGCAATCAAATTAACCCTTGGTTGAATTCAAACATCCCTTTAAAGTCCTTCCAGGCTGCAGTTTGCACATGGTACCTGAATTACACGAAGGCACCTGCAAGTTTACAGTGGCATCGCACACAGGGGAATCCTCCCTTTGCCTAAAGGGACCAAGGAGGTCACACCAGTGCTGTACCTCAGGTGACAGAGAGGAAAGAAAGGACAGCAGGCTCCATCTTCCCTACCACAAGCCCTTTTGCAGTTTCTGCAGAGCAGGAACAGCTCAGCCCTTGGCAGAGCTCAGCACCAGGGCCAAAATGCCCCTCTGTAGCATCCACACAGAATCCACTGAGGTGTTTCCTTCTGCATCCAGGCACTTGCTCCCGGAGGGAAGAGGAGACACCTACCCCTGCTGGACCAGACGGGTCAGGGAGGAATGTGAGGGGACACTCAGCTGGGTCAGATACCCCAACCTCCTCAGTGCTGCAACAAGAGCACAGCTGTTTCTGTGCAGGCCTCGCAACGTGCGTGTGTCGGTGTAAGGTTGTGCCCTTCGCCTGCGTCACAGCCCGTTCTTCTTGGGAACAATCAGGAAGAAACTCCTAGTGTTTCTTGGCTCCTGCACACATTTTTCACGCACAGGGGAGCACCTAGCCCATAGAGAACATTTTTTTCCTGCTGTAATCTTGATGGAAAAGGTAGTTAGTGATGGAGGAAGGAATTCTGGAGACGGATGAAAAGTGCCTGAGGGAGAACTTTCAAATGTACTTTGCACATGAGACATTGTGAACATGCCACCAAAGTCAAGAGAAGTATTAACAAGGCAAGGTGAAAGGGCAAGAAAATTTCCTGTCTCTCAGCTCCTCGGAGTCCTGCCTGCATTTCAGTGTGCTGGTTCACTCCGGCAAACCCAGGTAGCCCGAAAGGGCACCACGGGAGCCATCCATCCTGAGACATAAGGCAGATGAAGCTGCCAATGTCCACCAAGTGTTGTGCCAGAGCTACAAAGATTTGTACCCAACAACCCAACACTTGAGATGCTGAGTCTCCAAAATCCACAGACACAGACAAGGCCTCTTGGGGGCCCTCCTTTAGCTTCCCTTCCTCAACAGCATCCCTCCAAGAAACACACGCAAATATGGAATGTCACAGCCTTGAAAAGAAGGGAGAACACACAAAACTCTCAGCCAAATTGTGCATGCTCTGGGATGGCCTGTAACTTGGGGTTCCCTTCTGTCACTGATTCACCCTGCCCTGCTACCCCCACCCCGAGGCGGCTGCTGGGCTGTGGGGCCCCACAGAGCAGGGATGCACCCAAGGGAAGCTCCTGGTCCTCCCGGTGACGTAAAGCTGCCCCAGCTCCCCGAGAGGCCCAGCTGTTGCTCCACAGCCTTTAAATTCGGCGTTGGCATCTCTTAAGACACTTCCTGGAACTGCGCTCACAGCCAAATCCGCTGCCGCGCTCCATCAAATGGCCGGCAGGAGTCAATAGCACGCCGTTCATCATGGGATTTGCCACAACAATAGCACACAAACAGACCCAGCCTGACGCACCGAAATGATGTCAAACGAATTAGCTTTGCCTCGGTTAGTCAACCGCTCTTGAAAAGCTCGGCCCTGGCCTCTCGTGTCTCAGCCCTGGCTGTGCTCTGTCAGAGGGGGTCGTGGAGAGGCATCCCTGCACCACAGCCTTGGACACAGAGGAGAGAGGAAGAGTTCTCACATTTCCTGTGCCCCCAACCAAAAACACTTGAGCAACAATTAAAAATAGCAAAGAGCGTTACAGATTTCATGGCGTGACAAAGACAAAACTCCCACACTCCCATCCCTGGATCTCAGTGTGGCCCCTCGGCTTGGGAAGCTAAAGGACATCAATTTGCACTCAGTAACAGCCTGACTCTCATCAGCAGAGTCAGTGCTGCATTTTGGTCAGTCCTGGCCAGGAAACACAGCTTCAGATTTGAGTATCAGGAATTTGAAGTATAGCAAACTGCATTTTTGCTTATTAAAGGACAAAATACCGTTAAAAAGAAATGTCACTAGGGAATCTCTACAAGGAAACTTGCTTGCCAATATCACCAGATAAATTTAGTATGAAGTTTTCATTAAAAATTAGCTTTTAAATTACTCAGTGTCAGGCATGGACAATGTCAAAACCTGGCCTTTGGATACCTTTGACCTTTTTGTGCTTTAAAAAACTGAGCCCAGAGCTAAGCTCCCTTTTACAGGTGGGCCTAATTCCACAACAGGGCAAAACCCCACCGAACTATCAGGTGGAAAATTCCCCCGAAAGTGCTATGTAAGGTATGCCTAACTGCTCCAGAGAATAAACATTTAAAACAGGTTTAACCCTAATTTGTCCATGAAATTGTGTCTCACCATTTTTATGTTCATATTTATAAAAATGGAATAAAAAGTTTAATTTGACTTGAACAACCTCTCATTCAGAGGTGGACTTGTCCACACAGGCCCTGGGCTTACACAGTAAGTCAAACCCTGCTCTCAGCCAAAACCAGCCTGTGCCTCAACTCCTAATCCCGACAGCCACAGGAGAGCGAGCTCTTCCCAGCTGTGCAGCCAAGAGGCCAGGGGGCCAGGAGTCCCAGTGCTCCCAGCAGCAGCCCAGTGCCCATCTCCCTCTCATCATCCCTGCGGTGCTGGCTGTGCTCACCTGCATCTGCTGCTCACAGAACCTGCTCTCGCTCCCAGTCAATGCAGCGAGAGTAGGAGCAGCCCCACATCGAGTCACAGTACAAGATTTTATTGCTGTCACGATAATTAACGACTGCTCACACTCAGCTTTTAACGACTACCTGCACTTTTTTGTTTGTTTGTTAACTGGGTTGTAAAGGAGTCGGAGTCGTCCCGCCTGGTTTCCTGGATTTGCAGGACAATAGGGACCTCTACAGGCGTTTCCCTGCTCAGAGTAAGGCTCAGGACAGGTCACTGCGGATGCCACCTTGCTGTCTGTCACCAAACTTGCACTTTACAGAGCCTGACCCTCTCAACACTGCTGCTGTGTTACTGATCTACTAGAGTTCTTAAAAGAACTCCCAGAAGAGTTATTGAAAAGGTTTGAAAATTTGATGCCTCTCCTTCAGGTGACTTTAATTCCTCCCTGTCTTAGTTCTCCACAGCACATCATTCCCGAAGCACTGTTTTGCTTCCTGGGGAGGCTCTCAAGACAAATCCATTAAGGACTGAGAACTTCAGGGGTCACAGGAGCTTTCTGAACTTAATTATATCAATTATTTTGCCAAATTAGCCTTCTCCTTGTGGGATGCTTTGAAAGCTACAGTGTATTTCATGGACCAGAAATTAAATAAAACAAAAATTAAACATCTAATGAATGTTTTTTGGCTCTCACTTTGCTGAGAGCCATATGACTTTTTGGGAGGTTGATTTTGTTCTGTTTGATTTTTGGTTTCGGGGTTTTTTTGCATAAAGTTGAGAGTCACTGGCAAGTAACCGGTTTCACAGGCAGTTCTCAGTACACAAGGCAGGACTTACACTCAGACCACATGACAGGCACTCTTGTGCTGGCTGCAGCAGTGCAAACTGGATTTGTACTTTTACTATAAGTGGGATGGACCAGAAACCCTGCTTTGTCACTATCAAAACATACTCGGGATTACTAAGAAAAAGGCAAAATCTTCTCCAAGGGAAAACTGTCTCCTACCTACCTGCTTGCCACCAGAGCTCCAAGACCTTCTCCAGGAGACTCTGGCACTGTCTGCAGTGGCTGGCTGGCTCTCGGCCCAGGTGCTGCTGTGCCAGTGCCGCTCCGAGTGCGATCACGGCACTGCTGTTCACCACAGTGTGCCCCGGCAGGAAGGGCAGTTTGTAAAGCACAGCCCTCTTTTCCCCAGGCTTGCACCTCCCTGTTTGAAGCAGACCTTGCTGGGATCAGTAACTGCAGGCCACCCACACGCCACAGTAGGAAGTGGGTGTCGAACTGAGGGAGGTGATCAAGTCACAGCCCAGCACACCTGCACAGTGGCTGCAGATGCCAGCGAAGCAGGTTGAGGGCTGGGTGGCTTAAGGGCAACTCGGCGTGAGATGCGCTGCAGGAAAAGCCAGTATGGTTCCACCAGCCAGGATCATGCACAGGGAAAGCACTCTGTCCTTTGGAAAGGATGATCCCAGTCTTTCATGTCTCTGGCTCGGCCCCGCTGAGCTGGTGCCCCTCACAGCTGAGGCAGGCCAGCCTAAAAGCCACACAAACACTGGGGCTCCTCTTGAAATGACCAGTTTTTGGCATGTGCAGCTAGAATGGGAAGGAGAAGTTTACAACCCTGTTAATTATGCCATTACAGAAGGACTCTGAGCCTGATAAATAAGCCAGGAAAGATGATCCTGATCCTTTGACAGGCCAGTTCTGCAGGAAATTCAGCACCGTAAGCAGCAACACACCATACCAGGCTAGCAGCATCTGTCACTGATCAAGGTAGGGCTCAGCAGGGCTGACTCCACACAGCGATCTGAAGCAGGGCAGGCTTCCTCAGCCAGGGCACTGCACCAAACTGCACAGTGAGTCAGGCAGGCAAGGATGCCTCGAACACAGTCTGGGCCTGCTCCAAGCCTGTGCTTCAGCATGAAGGGCACACAGCACCCAGGTGGTGAGGAACCCAATTCTGGAAGCCTTGACAACACTTGACAAAAAAAAGTTAAAATACAGCAAAGACCTCCGCTTGCTTGCTTGCTTCCTTCTTCCCATCTTTGTCTTTCCATTTTATTCTCATTCTACCCTGACACAAAGTCTCATTTTGTGTGGTGTTTCATTCTCCAGCTTTTCTTCCATTAACAAAAAAATCTCAGCAAACTCGCACTGGCAGCCCTTCCAAAGCTTCCTTAGGCCAGAAAGCCAACTAGAAAAACATATTTCACTATATAGTCTCCTGTTAAATTGTGGCCTTGAAGTAAACCCTCCTTTTCAGTTACGTTTAACTAAACATGAAAAAAAATTAAGTAGCGTGTGTTTCTATAGGTACAGAAAGTCTCATTGCAATGAGTAAACACTTTGGAAGAAGGACTTGCCTATCCTGTAAGGCACCTGCTTGGCCACTGGTACATTAAGGGTATAAAACATATCAGTAAGGGACATACAAACAGCTAAAACCAAACCAAATCCATCTCTCTCCAACAGCTTTCTTTAGGCAAGGCCAAGTCCAGCTGCTCAAACTCCTGTGCTTAGAACTTCTTTAACAACTGCACGTACCCCCTGAGGCTTCAAGACAGAGCCTCTTTGATGAAGGAGGGTTGGTCCCTGGGGGGTGAATCCAACACTGGCAATGTGCACACAGGAAGACACAACTCACTGCTGAGAGGGAAATTCACTCATGACAGCCCTGAGGCTTTTCATCCTTTGGATACTTAGCTCTAAATTTTTCTCTGAGATCAATAATAAAGATCTCTCACCTTTGTTTTCCTGATCCCATGCAGGTTTTCAATAGGTATTTCCATGTGAGAGGGGTGAAGGGCGTTTTTTGTCTGTGCCTCAGTGTGGATGCACAGACTGTAATTCACATATCATTGCCCTCTCACTACACACATGTGACATAGAAAACGTCAGGGCCACTACTGACAGCTGGGTAGAAAATTGTGAAGAGCACAAGTTGTCTGGCAGTGGACACTTATAAAAGGTCAGAAGAACGGAAAGGAGCAAACAATGCAGAGATCTGAGGATTAACTTGAGATGAAGAAGACAAAAAGGCTGAGTTGGAAAATACTAATGTTGATGTGCAGAGGAAAGGACTGGTCTCAATCCAGGCACGTGTCGCTTGCTCCCTCTGGTATGTGGGATTCCAAACTGCGTGTGATGTGCTGTTTTATTAGTTGGTATCAAACGGAGAGCCGAGATGGTTCAGCTACTGACCAGGACCCCCATGTAAGAAGCCCCCTGAACTCCAGACCACTCGAGTGCCACAGGCACCTTTACCCTTTCAAACCCCACCTTTCATTCATGTATCAGCATTGTCACCATAGCCTCACAAATACAGTTTTTTCAACAAGCAACATGCCTCCTGCTGTGAAAATTAACTCACATAACAAAGAAACCGAGCTTTCAGTAAGTCACCTGAATTTAGGAGCTGATATTACCCCACAAAATCTCAAAGTACCAACTGCCTTTCTCTGGTAGATGACTGAGCACAGCAGATGAGTCTACAACAGCCAAAATGAAAACCTCCATCTACAGTCTTGTCAGCACTGGCAAACACTCCAGCTGTCACTGAGAAGTCCCAGTTAGTGCCACCATCTTCAGAATCAATTTTCTTCCCTTTTCTTTGAAAAAATCTTTGTAGCTTTGTAAGTCTTTGTAGACAAGATGAAGAGAGCCAAGTATCCGATATGTAATCTGTTTGTTCAGGGTGGAACCCAATCCCTAAGATAATTTTTTTCTTATTTGAGTGATCACATTGTGCTGGTAACGACAATTGAGTAAAGAGAGTCTGTTTCCTGTGTACTGAAGTTTTATGAAAAACTCCAGCTTCTCTAGAAATTGAAGTCTTTTGCAGAAATCAGGGTGCAGCAAGACAATGTTCTGCCTCTAGTTCCATGGATCTGAGGAGCTGTTGGATGATGTTTGGGATGAGAAGGGTTCTTTGTCAGGAGCACACTCCATAATCCATTTTGAGAAAGATGTCTGGTTCCTTTGCTTATGAAAACAACAAGAGCATGCCATACCCACAGGTGTCATGATCTAATTTTCCAGGAATTGCTTAGTCTCTGTTCCTAAGTTTAAGGAAGCTTTTGCTAACCAGTCATCCTCAGTCCAAAGCATTTTGGTTTTGTCCTTTATGGTACCAGAAGCCTCTACTTGGCCCATGACACTGGAGGTAATAGCTGGGTTAGAAGAGAGATGTTTATCCACACACGCAGCCAGCAGACACCAAAATCAGAAACCAAATGTCTTCTGGTCAGTGCCTGATGTCCAGAATACAGCTCCATTGTGAGAGTGGTGGTGCTTTTCCTCCAGAGGAGAAAAAGAACTAAAACCAAACAAAAAAACCAAACCAAAACACACAAAAGACCAAAGCAGAACACTGTTCTAGGGCTTGAAATGACTGAAAGCAGCTACAACCAACCAGGTCCTCCCCTTGGCAAACACCAATCACAGGAGAGGTGTCGAGGTCTGCCAGTGCCCTCAGCTGTTTGGACCTGAGCGTGAGCCACCTTTACGAAGGAGAGGAGGTCTTTCTTCAGCACTAAACAGAGCCTGTCAGTTCTGCAGGAGTTCCCTTCACATGCTCCTCCGCCATTCCCTCGAGTTCATCTCCTCTGCGAGGCTGGGGCACCTGTCAGATGGTGCAGGGGGGCCTTCCCAGCAGCCCTTCTCCTCCTTTGCAGGCAAACTGGTGAGTGTCCCAGTGCCAGATCTTCACAGTGCCGTCTCGCCCACGCAGACTTTGTAGGGAGATTTCAATTTCCTGCATCTAAAATGGACACCATCATGTGATTTTTATCAGATAAATCTAATAGCAGAGCACACTGAACAGAACCAAAGTCTAATCACCTAACTCATTCAGGCAGCCAAGACGAACCCCACATTTCAGACAATCACACTGTTGACCCACTGGCAGAAGGGAAAGCAGAGGTATAGAGTGTTATCTCCTTTAAGATCACACCGCAGATGAGCAACAGGCAAGAACACACTCCCAGAGCTCTCCAGTTCATATTTTTGCAATCAATTAACTCAATTATTTGATCAATTAATTAAGATTAATGCAATCAGAAGGTTCCAGATCTCCCATACCTCTTTCTTACGTAGCAGTAGATGATGGCAAGTATTCCACCAGTCAGTATTCCTACACCAATTCCCACAGCTATGTAACGCTCATAAGAATCATGTGCGTATGAATTCAATGTTAAGTGTTCACACCTTTCTCCATTATAACCTGCAAGGCACCTACAGAAAAAATACACATCATGCAAAAGTTATTCAGAGCTTGTTACGCTTTCTATTTCAGACACGTGTTAGTTTTCATGAGTTTTAAACAAATCAGAAGCCTAAACGAGGATGGGCTGAACCTGGTGCTCAGTCAGAACCTCCTCCCTCCACCAAGACTACTAGGTGCCCCAGTTTATCTAGCTTAAAGCTAGCTCAGGTACTGCAGTCACAGCAACAACACAATCCCAACATCCCCTCATGGTGCAGGGTGTGGACTAAGAGCACTGTGCTCTGATCATCCTTACCTGCTGCAATGTCTCCCAAGGCTAAAGCCGCCCAGTAAGGAGCCTACAGAATTTGAAGGACACCATGGTCCTGGTTGGCCTGAGGTACGTGTGGAATAAGGGAGTTGCAGCTGACATTTTGGAAGATCCTGTCCCCTTCATCTTGCCCACTGTGAAAAAGCTCCTTATTCCTCTACTACTTACCAGCTGTGATTTGAAATGGCACCATGGCAGTGACCTACAAAGCTGTCAATTCCCCCCCCTCCCTTCCTTAGTTAATTTACACTATTACAGCATTGCAGCCTCTTTAGCAGTCCCGAGACACCACAGCACTCAGGCCTGTGCCACATTTTAAGCTTGCAAGTACTTGACTGGCACTAAAAAGCTGCATTAGTACCACGCAGCAGATAAAGAAACAATGGCAGTGCTATTTTTGGAGAAGGATACTAAAAAGCAGCATTCTTTACTTGCATATGGGTTTCCTCAGCTCGCTGTGGAAGGCGCAGAGCCCATTGATACAATAGCTGTGGTGTTCCTCAAGGCAGGTCTGCATGAGCTTCAAGAGCTTTGGCTTCTCAGTGTAATCCACTGTGAAACAGAATAAAGTCATGTTAAGTTTAGCACAAAAAAACTACTTGACTACACTTTCACAACTGAAGCAGAACCGCCACTGTGTGCAGCAAATACTTAATACATTGATTTTACTGTGTTCTGTCTCAAGACCAGATTCAATGAGCATGAAACAGAACAAGATGCCGAGGTGTTCCAGCACGGCTTTGAGAAAGCACAAACTGTAAATCGATTACTTGCTCTTGACAAATGTGTACAAAACCGATTATGGGAGATTCATCCAGAGTAACACCAGCATTAACCAACCTGCAATCCAAATAGGAAAGCCATCTCAGGAACAGCAGGGGTTTAGGACACATGAAGAGCACTGCATTATTTTCTGTATCCTTCCCAGTTTGAATTCAAATTAACAGTTAATTCATTTTTTTAATTTTCCTGCTCACAAGACAAACTACGGCATTTCTAGCACTCTTGTTTGCCAGCTCTTGCAGCCATGAGGGAGGATGAATGGTGGGACTGCTCCCTCATTCCTCCACATTCCAATGTTAGCAGTGTCCAATGACACTAGTAAGCTCCCAAGACCGCCTGGATGGTCTTCCTGTGTAAAAAGCTTGGTCCATGGCTACCAAGCTTCTGAACTTGTACAAAATTCTATGCACCCAGGTCAGCAAGCACACTTCCTGCACAGAAAATGCTACCTTATTCTCAGTTGTGGTGGCTCAAATGGGAATAAAGAAGCCACAGGAGCAGGGGTGCGGCAGGTGGAGGGAAAGCTCCAAAGCTTCACCGTCACTGCAAGCATCTGTTCCAACTGGTCTCTCTACTCAGTTACAGGAATCACTGGTGGGGTGGGGTGTCCCAGCAATGCCTTACTATTTCAGGGGACTGCTTAAGTGCTGGCTGAAGGTGATTTCCTAACCAAGTGCATGTCAACACCAGCTTTCAGTTATGACCACAAGAAAAATAACATCACGCAGGAAGGTGACAAGGTCTGCTCGGAGTGACTCAAGAATGGTACAGCAAGCAGAACCCTTCCTTTCTGACTAAGTGCTGAATCAAGGTCTGGAGATACTACATGGAACCACTGCCAGGGACAGAAGCCTCAAACAAGCCTATGGGTAATTCACGATCCCACTACACATCTTTCAGGAGTAACAGCACTGACCCCCTAAATTCCACATCAAATTCCAGTTTGAGACATTTAATGGCAGAAATCTCCCTTCTGTGCTCTACTAAGCTGATCTTTTCTTCCTCCTGCTGCAGCTTTATCAGAGATGACACACGATGGTAGACAGCTGCCCTAGCAATTCACAACTTCAGCTGTGAATGATGTGGTTTGGACACCCAAACGGAATGATGCTATCACTGATATTCAGATCAAACATGACTACTTTGAGAACAGTGCCCTCTCAAACCTGACAGTCATCAGACTCCCAGCTCAGCAAGAGGACTTAGGGAGAACAAGTAACAATTCAAGTCTGATTGAAAAATGCCATGTTGGTTTACTACACTTCCTCAGGAAAAGCCACAGAGGTAGAAGAAAGACCTGTTTCTTTAGAACAAACTTCTAAGGGCATCTTACCCATTTTTCCAAGGGAAAAAAAAAATCACAAGTTTCTCTTCACGTTGTGGAGCCTAGAAACACAATGAAAGGGAACAAGGTAGTCTGGCTCTAGAATCCAGGTATGGCTCTTTTCTGGCCGGCTCCTGGAATGTTGCCAACAACCTCCAGGGACAGGCTGAGGCCACAGTCAGCATAGGACCAGGCCTTCAAGTGACAGACTTCAAGAAGAAGTTAAGAGAGGACAGACGTCAGGAAGAAAGACAGATTTTGTGACAAGAGATGGATAACACTACTATCTGCACGGGAGGACTGTACACTGCTCTCTGATGGGGAAAGCACAAAGGAAAGCAAGGCACGTGGGCAACACAGCTGCACAGCTGGGCTTGCCAAGGAGATGCACGATGCAGAGGATCTGCAAAATCCCATTTTCAATTAGGCCTAACGTACCTTTTACATTAGACCAAATTAGACCAAAGCTCTGCAGGGAAGAGTTTCAGAAAACAGGCAGTGGCGCATTCATATTTTCCCCAGGACTCACCTCAAACACTTGTGCACCAACTGTTTTGAATCTCCATTTAAGCACAAAGTGCACTAGGAAATCACTAAAAATAACCCATCGAATTAAGCCTTTAACCTGCAGTTCCTGCCACCCAAAGCACTACTCTTCTGCTAGGCCCTGAGATGATGTCTATTGCACAGGTTTAATGTTTCACTTCTATTTCTGCCATAGAGGAAAAAAACCAAACAAAAGAAACACGAGGAAAGTACACGCTGCCGAGGAATGAAATCCCCAGCCACCTTCAACTTCCACCGCCTGAATTCCCACATCCTGAATCCCTTCTCACTCACACCAGCGCTGCCGAGAGGTGGCAGCCTTCTACTACCAACATCTGCAGGAAACCTTGCTTCGTGCGGGCCCAGGATCCTCTTCCCTGAGTGCTGCTGTTATTAGAATCCCAGGTCAGCCTGGAGCAGCAGCCTGCCTAGAAAGCATGAGACAAACCAACACATTCCTCCCTCACTGTCAGGAGGAAGAGCTTGGTCCGTTGTGGGCTGCAAGACCAGATATTAAGTCTACACACAAAAACTGCATGTGCTAATTATTTTGGGGTTGCAAAAGTACAACTTGCCCCTGAAAGAATCAGTCTTCAAAACAAAGAAGAATGCTTTTCTAACCCGCCCCACAGCATTATGTTAATTCCTATCATACTGTCCACCTAGATACTAAACGAGCTGTTGAATAAACACGTCCATGTGCCCTTTCATGTCACGTGAGGAGAGCGAAACATGCAGTGTAAGCACTTGACAGCTGCCTGCAACTGAGTCATTCACACAGATACAGCTGGCAAGAGCTGACATGAAATCCAGGCTACAGGCACTTGGAAGCCTGGGCTTGCCAAAACTGACAGACTGGCAACAAAGAGAGTCAGCCAGTAAGTCCAGGACAGCTCAGCCCTCAAATATGGTGTGTCGGGGAGGAACAGGAGAGTGGGGAGGGAGGGAAGGGGTCAGCCACAGGTTCAGAGCCACCTTTACAGGCTGCATGGAAAAAACAGCTGACAGCAGTGAAGGGATCCCATTTTTTCCCCAGTGAAACCAAGCTCTTCCCTACTCCTGGCTTTCCATTTTGCTATGCAGGCTGTTTCAGCCCCAACCGTGTCAGAAGTTCTGTATTCCTGCCGTGCCAGCTCCCACCTCCTCTCTATGACCTTTCTTCCTGCAGCTGATCACCGAGTATAACATTCCCTATCCCCAGCACTGGTGACAAGTAAAGCCTATGTAACATAAAATAAGGAAAAAAGGACATGATCTTGTAAAGGGACGCAAAGGGATTGAGCAGAAATTAGTGATTTTCCATAAACTGCACCTCAGTCTCCAGAGGACTTGAATCACACAAGAAATTGCCCGTTCCTCCAGTGGATAGTGAACCAGGAATTCATTTTTTTAGAATCCACTATTATGAACCTTGGTTGTAAATCTTACTATAAACTTACACTGCACAGGAATAGGAGCTACCAGGAAACTTCAGAGATTCAGCCAGTTTTTCTGGTGGCATTTCTTTTCATTCTTCTTTCTGGAAATGCTGTTATCTAAATTTTCAGTGGCTTTGTAAAAGGTCCACCAAAACATACTTCTAACTCCCCATGTAAACGTGTGCTTGAATGGTTTTGAATTTGTTTCTACCTCTGAGTGGAACACTTTCCAAGGGAAATTCTGGTATCCCATTGACCACCACAGCCCCAGCTTTCATAAAGGTTCACAGGACAACTACAGACATGGCTGTGACCCTGTAAATAAGCCTCCTCTTTGTTATAACATGACCGGTCACTCCTGCTTTCTAGAAACAACACAAACAGGGCACTTAATGAGCCACAACATATTTCCACTTCATTATCCTCCTGTTTGCTGTATGCAGCTCTGTAAGAACTGTGTCACACACAGACACACTAAACTAGACCGCAGTGCTTGAGCTGCTAAACCAAAGTACTGAGGTCAAAACCCAACATCTTCTTGATTTTACATGCATAGGTGCGTGCATACATATTTTACATACATATACATGAAACCCACATATACAGTATGTGTACGGATGAATGTGTATATAACACTGTACCACTATGACAAAGAAAGGAAAACAAAGGAAAACAAAGCAGCTTGACTTGTTAGGAGAAAAATAAAAATCTTATGGATCTACTAGAAAAGCTTGGAAGACATCTTGAGATGACTCAGAATTAACAGCAAATGGTTTTTGTGCATATTTATGTGCTTTCTAAAGTGCAAAGACATTAATAAGTATCACAGTTAGAACCTTTTCCTCCTTTACTAACCTGCCAAAACCTCAGTCCCAGATCGCACAGCTCTCCCAAAGCAATGACATCACCAGCACCTCAAGTAACATCAAGAATGCAGCTGGCAGGATAAACAGTGCTCTGCTCTCACATGTTGGCAGGCAAAGAGCTTGAGTTCACATTTCAGTCAGAAAAAAGAAAGGAACAAGGGAGACAGCCAGCACTCTGAGGAGGGCTGTGAAAGCCACGACAGCCGAAAGCAAAACTGCAACAAAGAAAGAAACTACTGAGTAACAGGCATGAGAGGCATTGCTTGAAGTTGCGCTTGTTCATTCTCACTTCTACACACCAAGGTGTACACTGAAGACAGATGGAAACCAGGCACCAGGTAAAAGTAACAGAAAGTGCCATCAGAAACGCAAGTCATCTATTCTAATTAGCCCCATCTTCTTCAAATTATAGCTGACTTGGGTTAAATGATCCTTCAGCTGGTCATCACTGAGCCTATCCCAGCTGGGTGGCAGCTCTGACTCCAGAGAGGTTTTGAAGGCTCCACGAAGAAAGCAGCTATTCTCACAAATAAAACACACAAATCCAACAGTGTCCAAGTGACAAGAGCACCACAGCAGCTAACACCATAGGTTTTGGTGGGGTTTTTTGGTTTGGGTTTTTTTCTAACTGACGGATTAGCAAACAGAACAAAAAAGCAATACCTTCAGCGCTGTTTTTTGTCCAATTATTCCATAAGTCTGTGCTGAGGGATGAAGCAGTAAAAGCTGACTCTTCACTCAGTGCCCCCATTGCTGTATAATGCAAATAGATACTTACTGGAACAGAAAAGCTCAGTACATCTATTCAAGGTTCATTTCACCTAGAAAGCACTTCATACAACATGAATTTCATACAACCCCCATACAAAGCAGTAATATAATAACAATTCAGTTAAAACATTTTTGCCTCAAACTTCCTTTTGCCACAGCATAATTACGATTGTGGGAAAACAAACATGGTTTTGCAAATTTCCCAAATACAAATGCATCCTGTTCTCCATTTTATTATCTTAAACAATTTATGACACAGGTATGTGCAACATACTACAACCTTACATCTCTTCACCAGTCTAAGCAGCTTCTTTTCAAAGAACTGTAAATTATAGCCTATCACTTACAATTTCATCCGGGTTTCAAACTGCTGCAGTGGTTCTGCTTCCCAGCGTCTCTGCACACTTCCCACCCCACCGCTTATTTCAGAAGAGGCCAACTATTGTTCAACAAAGCCCTGGATCTTATGACATGGAAAAGCCTCCTCCATACCTACCTTTCAGCAAAATATAGATTAGCATTCCAAATGCCATGGCAGGCAGCTGCTTTAACACCTTCTCAGCTCTTCTTTCCAGGTGGCTTGCTTGCTTGCTGTGCTTATCTGTGCTGCCGTGTTTTCTCTTGCACTTATATGCCAGGAAGCGTCATCTCTTGTTCTCACCAATCAAGAAAAGGTGCATCTGGCAACAACCTCACCCCTCGGGGCAACCACACATTTATTTAGGAAACTGCTATTATCTAGCAATGGGATCAGGTTTTCTTTTGAAACCCTGGTTTCCTATTACCTGTGGGCATAATTGTGCAGGCAAAGGCACAGTCTTAGAGCGAGACCCAGATTCTGACAGAGCAGAGAAACAAAAACCAGCAAAACAGAGGTGAGCAAAATGAAAAATTACACGTTGTGAAAACATGGTGTTTCCTTCCCTTCGCAGTGTAGGTCTTGTGTTACTTCCAGGAGGATATTCAGCCTCAGGATGCTCCTCCTGAGGTCAGGGTCCAGGAACCAGCCCGTGCTCTACTAGTGTTCCTCCCCTGGTCCTCGCTGTCCCTCAGTCCCCACGATCCAGAAGAGGAGTTCTTCTGTTCCTCTCCTTCACTCAAACAGCTAGTGCTGAGATTAGGAAGCGATCAGACACAAAGATAATGGATGATGTTCTCCATCAGTGACTGCCAGCAAGAGGCCTTTGATCCCAGGCTCTGCAAGCCTGAGGGTTGTGCTGATCCCTTTCCATTTAGCCAGGTCGTGCACAAACCTAGGAAGCAAGGCAGCCCACTGGCACCCACAAGGCCTGGATTACTGGCTGGAGCTGCGGGGTAGAAGTCCAGAGCTGGCAAAGCACAGGCGCTGAGGTAACATAGACTGAAAGAGCAGGTAAGCTGTTGCCTCACATATCGGGAAATCCCTTCACTACTGCCAGAAAAGCCCACCTCTGCCCCTCCAAGAAGTGACTGTGCATAATGAGAACAAACATTTCACACCAAGTGTTTGCAGGTCTCTAGCATATACCTGTCAAATGTATTTCTTATACTAAACCACTCTCCACAGCCCCAAACACTGTCTAACTTCCTTGGCAGCTTGGAGCGACTAGGACTGGTCTCTGAAGGATACTGGAGATCATCGGAAAAACCCAGTTCAGTAATATACACGGAGATCAACAACCTGACTCTCATCAAAGGAGAGCTACATCCTTTACTCCAGCGACTTCCTTTCTCAACTCTGAGCTCCAAGTAACAACATTTTACAATTTTTATATTTTAAAACCAAAAAGCTTCTAATAAATGCCCTAATAACTGGTCAGCTCCAGCTCTCCCTCTCTGCTGTGCTCTCCCCAGTGATCTGCAGGATTACATCTAACCACTTCACATGTTAAGGGAAAAACACAAGCTAGTTATGCACATTTTAATTATGCCTTTTCCTGCTCATGGACTGCATTCCAGGAGGCTATTCCCTTCCTTTGCTATCCTGAATTGCTGCATGCCTGCACGCTGATCAAGTGCCTTGCACACTTCCCAGACAGGAGTGTTTATGCCTACCCGGATAACCTCTGCTATCAGTCCCAAGCAGGGATAAGGCTCATGAGCCTTGCTTTCAACATACAGCTGCACAATGGGAGTTTAATCAGGCCTGAATCCGAGAGGAGGCTTTGTCATGAGGCAACACACTGGGTGTGGTGGGCCTGGGACAAGGCTGCAGCGGGCAAGGTCACGCTCTGTCCAACACACGGTGTTCATACTTGGACCGGGCTTGACCAGGTCGGGCACACCAGCATGCTTTTTGGGTTGGTTCATGGGCCCTTCCCTCTGGATGCTCCTTCTGAATGTTCTCCCAGTGGAGAGCACTCTCACAGGTGGGTCTGGCAGCTCTGAGGACCGCACACTGTGGAGTAAAGCCTATGTCTCACTAGCTGAGAAAAGGGAAACAGCTTACGATGCACAACAACCTGTTTGTAGGGCACGACAGAAGCAGGCTCACTCAAGGGACAAGAGCACAGCGCCAAAAATGGTTATTCTGCCAAAACACGCAGAGATGATCAGCGTTAAACCAGCAAAAGCAAACATGAATCTAGAAGAGCAACGCAAACAGCCGGACACAGCAATAACTGAACACGCAAGGCATTCATTCGCTGTGCTCCGAACACACACATAAACAAAGGAAAATCACAACCACCCCCACAACTCCATCAACGTTTTTTACCAAGACTAACAAAACAGTGAACAAGTTTTATTCCATCTTTCGGTCACTGATTGATCAGTCCAAGTATAGTCTCCATAGGCACCTTGACTCTCCTAACATTTATATTACCACTTAAATTTAAATAGACAAGTGTCTGCACTATTGGTATTATATATTTAGTAATAATTCTGTCAAACTTTTACAAACACTGCATTAAAGCAAACTCTCAGAAAGTCCATCACAAGAACAGTCAACATGGAAGGGATGCTCCATCTTGGCTCTTTTATTACAGTAAGTGCATTTTTCTGTTTAATGCAATAGTGTTTAGCCACAATTTTTTCCTTCCTCTTTCAAGTTATCGATAGACCACCAGCAAACACCTAAGGCTCTTGATGAAAATAAATCAAAGTTATCCCAACTGAGATAAAAACACAAAGATAAAAAGTCCCAACTGGCTCCCACTACCTTCAGTGGGAGTGCCAATAGTGCACACACTCAGCTGAACAGGTATCTCAGCATTAACTCCACTCCAAATTGGACACTGCATGGGACTGTGCTAGATCGATCCAGCAACTAAATTTTTGGGAATAGAAACATACTGATCTTATCCCATATAGTCCTCTTTAAGCAGCAAAACATTGTGGCCATTGAAGCCAAGCCTTACATCTCAGAATAAGAAAAAACTTTGTCATGCACTTTCAGAAAATAAGAGAATATAATTAAATGGCTTTAAATTCCAACACAAATGTTCTGTCACAGACAAACTTCTGGTTTGCTCTTCCTCTTCAACCCCTGCCCCGCTATACTGTACATACACAGTAATGTCAACTACATTTCATCTAATGTAAGTCAAATCCAGCCCAGTCAACTGTTCAGGTTTAGGGATTTTTTCTGTGGGATGAGGACACTATGCACCAAAACATTTTGTCCAGATATGAAAAGAAAATAATTCAGGCCTCCATTCTACCTACTTATTCATGCTTACCTCTTGCAGATGTTTAAAATCAGAATTTCACCAGCATTACAGTTTACTTGGCTATTTTACTGAACATTTACATTCTTGTCAACATTACTGCCTGGCAGCTGACACAAACACTGCAGTCTCTCACTCCTTTTGGAATTGAGATTTCTGCTGCTAGCTTAAAGTGTTTAAAACAAAAAATATTTCAAGACTTTGAACTGCATCCAGAGTGTTTTGTGACCTCAGAACCCGAATCATGTATTTAAAAGATATCTAGCACGTTGAAACTTAGTTTTTATACTGTTTGATCAAACCTGAAGGTCCCAAGGGCTTACAAGCCCTTGGTAACTGCATCAATACATAGTACAGTTGTAATTCATTCTTCATTCTCAAACACATACCAACATAACTGTGTAGGCTGCATTCTCAAACTCATTTTTGCTTGCAGTAAGTAAGGAGGAGGTAACAAAGCATTTGAACATTTTGTAAAGTATCAGGTTTAGCATACTTGACATGAAAAAATAAATACAATGCATAAATAAATATATTTGTAGTAAAAAATAAACGTTTTGTGTATCAATAAATAGAACAACCAGATTCTTCGTCCAAGGTAGCCCATTTTCTCTAGTAAATGAGCTTTTTAGCAACTAGGAGTGTGTTCTTCAGAAGCATCGCAACAGTCATAGGTCCTACCCCTCCCGGCACTGGAGTGATAAAGCCAGCCTTCTTCTTCACTTCTAAGAGAAAACAGAAAGAGGTATTGGCTAAGAATGTCTCCAAAATGGTTTTCCCCCTTCCACTGCCCACAAATGCCCAGCTGGTGAGGAGCACAGAGGAGTGTGACTGGACAGGGACTGCAGAGCACAGGACAGGCCAAGGCAGAAGTGTTACTGCAGCAGAGAGCGCAGGACTGGGGCTGCAAGGTACTGCTAATCTAAGTATTAGTACCCAGGGCTAGTTCTGGGGCAGGCTTTCACAACCTGTCCCACCTCAGCTACCTGCAGCAGGCTGCCCTTGCCCCATGGCAGCAACACACACTCAACACAGACATCCTGGGATCACAGAAGGGAACTTAAAACTGCAGAGAGAGAAAGTACAGCTTCGAACAGAAAGGAAAGAGTTACAGCTGAATTAGCTCCATGAACCACACCAGACTATCCAAATTTAGCGCATACCTTGAATGCTTGCGTCAAGGCAAATATGTACCAATTAATTTTTGTAAGCACTTAAGTTAACCTATTTGTATGAGGAATTAATGTAATGCAGCAATTGATCCTGACTTGATATTCTTTTATACTGTGCAAAATGCCATTGACTGGAGTTGCAAGCTGCTTGCAAAGCAATTCTGTGCAACTTCCTGGGAACTAATCACATAAAAAACTGTAATGAGCACTTACTAATGATGGTCAGTCCAAAGAGCGTTTTACTAACCTGGTTACTACTGAGGGGTTTTTTTCAGGTACCACTGTGAGAGGTGTTTTGTTTGTTAGTTTGGGGTTTTTCTGGCTTGCTTAGTAACAAATTTTGGGTAACTCACACCCCACTTTCAAAAGCATTGTTTTTCCAAAAGGCACATATACAAGACAACTGAGCAAGGAGAACTGACATAAGCACATTCAGTTCCACTGAAGTTACTACAGAGTAGGCTCTGTGTCTGGCTGTAAGAGACTGAGGGATGGAAAACCTGGCACCTGGGTTTCGAACAAACAAGATAAGTTGCTTCTGCTGCAAGGGTATTCATCTTGAATCTATGTTGTGCTTAACTGTCGGGAAAAAAAAGATCTCAAAAAAAAAAAACGTAAAAGAGAATTTGAGGAATTGGGTATTAGGATTTTTTCTGGAAAGAATATTTATTAGATTTTTATGAGGGGTTAAAAGAAATTAATAAAATGCTGTCTGAACTCTCCATGGCAGGGACATAATGAGAGCATTCACAGAAGTTAACGGTGAATATCTCACTGAACTGAAGAACAGAAGAAGATTAAGTCTCATTGAGGAGAGATGGTAATTACAACTGGGAGGGTTTTAATTACTCAGTTGACTGGTACCACCAGATATACCGTTAAAATATATGAAAAGGAAAACAATTTGCAATGCGGTTTTTTTAACATGTAAAATATAACAAATTAAGACTTCATATGGCAGTTACTCTTAATATCCTCAAACACAAATAATTTGTCTTTTTAATAGTCATACTGTTTTGAACTACCTACCATTTGAGATTGATGCTTACGGTTAACACACTTACTATGAATTTTCAGATTTATATTCTAATTACTAAAATGTACCCACATCTGAAGGAAACACAGACATTAACAGAGACAATATTGTAGGCACTTAAAAATGAAATACATTTGTTTGCACGGCAATGTCACATACCTCTTTTTGTGCCGTTACTCAGACTTCTCCTGTCTTACTTACAAGGAGGGACAATCCACAACTAGATAGCGCCTTTCCTGAAGAAAGCCTTCTAATGAGTATCAGCTACAACATACATTGCCTGTGGTGTCAGTAACCCTACTCAGCAGGAAACACACAGTGCACTGTTTTCCCAAGTTGCTGGGGAATTCCTCTACCCATACTCTGTCATTATGGAAATCCCTGAGAGTCGGTGTGGCAGAAGCCACGCTTTGTGTCAGTTAGCATAAAACCACCCAGATAGTTTATTCACAAAAGCTGATCCACATTTTCAAATGCACAACAGGGGTCTGTACTGGGGAAACTACAATCTTATAAGTTGTCATCAGTAAGAGTAAATACCAAAGCAGCCAAATACCTTGGCCCTCAAAATTGTACATAGCTTTTCCTTTCCTGGTCAAGTGTAGTAGGCCAGAGCACAGTTTCCAGACAGCACTTGAGTGTGACTGATCTCATGTAGGCAGGTGAGGTGCTGTGCTGTCAGTTCCTTCAGGTCTCGTTTCTGCTTCACAGGAATAACTTTGTCCCCAGCCTTACTCCTGCTTTCTTCAGATGTTTGCTTGCCTCCCAGGCCTTCCCCTCCAACCTGGAAAATGCTAGTATGTAAATTAGGTGCCTATGGAGGAGGAGCTGCTATTTTGCAGCTTCTGGAGAACCTTGAAATCTTCCTTTGATTCTTCAGAACAAATGAAATGTAGATAGTTTCCTTGAAAAACAGGATCCACAGCTTCAGAGCAGCCCTTCATTCCTAGGTTCCTTTAAAGCTAAGGACATCAGACACCTAATAGGGTTAATCACACAAACCAAGGGCAAGTCTCAACCTGAAGGCAGTTCTGGGTCCTGTGCATCTGCATTAAGTGATGCAGAGTAATTCCTGCCTAAGCACTGTTTCCACACAGCTTTACAAGTCCCTGTAAAGCTACACCAGATCACTGCATCCCAGCAGCACTGCCTAAGTGTGAAATCCTGTGCTCAGCACTCACAGCAGATACCCCATGGTACTCCACATGCTCTGGGACTCGGCTCACTACACTGTGGAATACCAACAAGCAAGCAGCTACCCCATTTCTCAGAGTCCCTTCTTTTGCATATTGGCCCTGTTTCTCTCACTGCAGCTGTTTTAACTGCAATATAAAGGAAAACCAAGGAATTATGGTCCAGTACTGTAATTCTAACAGTGCATATTTCCCCCTCCAGTACCTCTAAAAACCAAGCAACAGAGGTATCCTGAGCAGACAAACCCAGCATGAAATTAACACATCGTAGCTTCTCTGCATTCAGTTAGTTAGCACAGACAGGTGGATGGGATGTCGTGGTAGCCTTGGGATAATAAGTGGTGGCAGCAGAAATGCATGATATCACAGATTACTTAGTGAAGCCCCCGCACGACATCCTCTTGTCTGGAGAAGAACCTTGCCCGGGCCACCCAGCAGCTTACTGCCACCACCCAGCCAACAGCCAGCCTGGCTGCCACTGCCTAAGGCCAACCTTATGCTGGATTCCTCAGACTTATGGGGCACAACAGCAGGCAATGCTTCCCCTGATGTTTGCAGGGCAGCAATACAGTGACACAATCACACAGACTGGAGTTTTACTAATTGTAAAATGAATGCCAGATCTTCAAGATCACCTGAGAAACGAACTAACTAAAGCTATAGCAAAAGCAGCTGGAACATCCATGTTCTACTTTCGTGACCACTGTTTGGAAAAGCTGCACACAGAGCTCATTTGGAAAGGATTCAATAACTGAGGAGCAGCCCAGAGCCACGCAGGTATCACAGTGAACGCGGAGAGGCAGTAGACACCTGTCAGAAGCAGCTGCTGTCACAGAATCTGGATTTCTGGCACACTGCAGCTGAGGTGCAGCTGCAGGACCACCATTTCCATTCATAAACTGCATCTGAAGGTTATCATGGTCGATCTCATTCAAAGGAAATTCATAATATACACCCATCACCTTGCACCACAGCGATCACTTGTTGAAGCAATCTCTTCTGCTGTTCAGCACAGGGAATGCATCCTTGCTCCTGGTGGCAGCCATTTTCCACAATCTCTTCCACACTGTCGAGTCAGATTGCACAGTTCTCATGTACAGGGGCAGGAGCTGGACTCGATGATCCTGATGCATCCCTGCCAACTCAGCATCTTGTTTGATTCTATGCACAAATCCCTCCACTGATATTGCAACTACATCACCTACAAAGGTCTTACACAAAAGATTTCTTTTCTACATAGGCACCCAATAAAGACTCAACAGTCAGCATTGCCATCTGTTTGTCCAAAATATGGAAGGAACTGTAAAGAGATACAGGTAACTTTAGTTTTAAGGGCATTTCCAGTTCCAGTTTCAAAGGTGAGTTATTACACTGGTGTGTTACCACCCTGCTCTACCAGTCACTCCCGGAAATTTTTGGTGTTTCACCCAAAAAAGCCGTTCCAGCTGAATGTTCTTGGTAAGTTGTTCCTTTATTTCATGTTCCTGGTACTTGTAGCCCCCCTCCTCCTTTGGCAGTATAGCTGTGGCAACAAAAGCTCTATAAAACAGGGCCAAGTACACCACATGTGCACTGTCCTGTTCATAGAAATAGGTCTCCCTTCCTGTGACGGCAAATTGCTGCCCTAGACCACAGGTTTTGGCAAATTATTAACATGAACAGAGGTCCCCTCAGTGTGTTGGTTATACATGGAAAGCTGCACATCCAGTTTAAAATCTCCCTGCAGTATAAGGCTGGGTACTCGAGTGCTTCACAGCTGACCTCCACATGCACAGTGTTCTCCTCTCTTGTTCTTTCAGTTACCTTGGAACTGCCCAGTAAACTATGCCAGACAAAAACCCCACAATTTTTTATGTGGAAATAAAATTATTATTATGTGGGGTGTCAAAATAAAGAGGACGTGTAGGGATGTGGGAAATCACAAATACTGTTTAAAGACTCTCAATAATTGTTGCAAATAAGTGTCGCTCAAAGAGTGCCCCTGGGCATTTTTTACATTGAATTTAATAATGAAAAACATTAAAAAAACCCTGAAATGGTATCCTTTTGTTGTTGAAGAGATAACACCTTTAGTGCCTAACCTACCCCACAGAGATTAGAAGATGGTATCCAAGTATTGCTTGGATATGACAGTTGAAACAAAAAAGCTTCCAGCCATTTAATAAGCTTAATTTCCACTGCAGGAGCTTTTCAGCCAGGAGATCTGGTGAAGGAAGCCATTGCCATCTATTTCTGTAAATGTAATTTGATCTCTGATTGCCCAGTTAAACCTTTGCTCTTCTCACAGCCACATCTTTCTACTTAATATGGATGAAGAGACAATAGATATTGGTGGGCTACATGATGGTTAACAGGTACCCTATGTCATGCCAGCCATTTATGTACCTGGCCTCAACCTGCAAAAATCATTTTCACTTGGACTTAAATATAAATTCAGTCAAGTGGAAGAAAAGGATAAAATTATTTGCTACACGAACACACTGGCTTATTCCATCTCCTGACTGTCAAATCAAATACTTGCCAAGGGTGGTTTACTTATTAGTATTCAGAACTGTAGACACTGGGATGTTTTTTGTTGTTGTTAGAGATTTAGTGAAACTTTCACCGATACCAATGAACCAACAACAATTTCCCTTTGGCAATGCACAGTGAAATGCTACTTGCAACTGTAGTGGCATAATCCAAGCTGCAGTTCCTCCCTCTTTTTTGGATCTTCCCTCCCCCCAGGTAAAATCCTGAGAACAACCCACAGCAGACATGACGAGACAGATAGAGTGCATTGCTGAAACTCTGAATCACAGCCCTGCCACTGAATCTACACCTATGTTGCAGGCACAAGGTCTTGTGTGTGAAGAGAAACAAACAAGAAGGATGCAGTTTAATGCTTCTCAAAGTTACAGCTTTTTTACTCCAATACCTGCTCAGCTAAAAAATTGTGAAAAAACTCCGTACTTTAGTTCAGCTCTGAAAACAGAAAATTGAACTTCTGATTTGTGACAGCACAAGCAAGATAAGAAAGGAAGAGAAACTTTTCAAGTTGTCCTCCAAAAGTGTGATTTTCCTGGAGCTCTGTTGTACATATCCACTTACACATTTCCAAACACGTGCCGAGACAGTGGCTCAGCTCCACTGATGCAGGCGATCTCACAGAGGTTAACACACAGGTATCGTGCACACTGAGGAAAAGCAGCAGAACTCAGGGAGTGATGTAATCACAAACACAGCTGGCTACAAACATTCTGAATATAATTAAGCTTTGAGACATTATGCCAGCCAACGTTAATAACTGTGAAAAAAACCTGTGGGTGATTTTCATACTTATCAAAATAAGGAACTGTTGAGAACCATTAATAATGTGGGTAAATGCTGCCTAAGCTTCCCACACTCAACTCTGCCAATAAGCTTTAATTTTCTACTCCAACAATCCTGCTATTCCAGTCTGGAACTCCTCCAGAGCAGAAACACTTCATCTAGTTACACTGTGAACTCGCTCTGCAACATGTTAAACACAAAAAAGATCAATATGGAACAACAACTTTTATCTGCTACACTTGCCTGGACCAGGATGTTCAGCAGCTTAAGACGAACCCACATTACACCTTAGCGTAAAGAATATTTCCAAAGCCAAAGTTAACATTTGCACAGAAAAGCACAGAGAGCATAAGAGGAAGCTTGAACAGCTGTGGTATAATAATGATTGCTGCAAACAGTGGGAGAGCCTCTGCTTGAGAGAGAGTAGAACTGATTTTGATTTACTATTATTCATTATTTATCAATTGTTTTAACTGATTACTCTTGAAACACTTCACAGACACGAAGGATTAAAGAAAATGGGAGAGAACTGCTGCCAGAAGAGCTCATCTGTGTCTCTTAAAGGTTGCTGTTCCTGCAATTAAAAGCAACACTTTCTCTCTCAAATAACGTAGCATTTGCGATAGATTGCATTATTTAACTAAAAAATGACAAAACATTTCTGCAAATAATGTCTCATTTGAGACATTGCCTATTCCAAGTATTTACCGTGAATGAATCCTCTGAACTTCAATACATACAGGTTTGTACAAGGTGTTTCACTGACCTTCAAAGTCCACATCCCCAACTAATTTGGTTTTTCCTGTAAGAGGATCATGGATATGGTTGATGCCTACATCAATCACAGCTGCACCTTCTTTGACCATATCAGTAGTAATCAGCTTTGGGACACCTGGAATCGGCAACACATATTGGATTAACACAGCCAGGTAGTCTTAGGTCATCAGTTTTGAATGAACTGAAGGGGCGTGCATGCACAGGTATGAATGCACATAACAGAACACAAGTATTTCACTTCAATGTTGCTTGATAAGTCCCACACTGAAAACAGTTATTCCTCAATCAAACACAGTTTGTAACTGCTACTACTACAGAGAAAAAGACTTACAAAAAACCCCTCCCCAAAGCTGTGCCATGGAATTAGTTTTGGTTCAGGAAACACACTTGACTAATAAGCAATTTTAACTGCTTTGGCAATCCCAGCACATGACACTGACCTTCCACACGGGAGCAAACCATGTCCTGTTATTTACAGCAATTTGGGAGGCCTCTGCACACTTGACCAGAGAGGCCCGGTCTCAGCATTGTTCACCTTCATTGCCCTCCAGTGGGCAACAGGTCTGTACTGTCTGGGGTAGGATTCACCTTCCTTCTTGAACCATTCCCTCAGTTCTGTGTTCTGAGAGGAATGTTTATCCTAATAATAGAGTATCTCCAGAAAGGGAGTCTATACTCCCCTCTCCCCACCACACCAGTTTTCTCTCAGGTGGAGGAAAAACAAAAAGGAAAAGAAATCAAATGCATTTGGTTTAAAACTGAGGTTTTACTGGGGGCAAGCACTGGCATCCAAGGCTATGCCTTCATGTGAAGTGCTGGAGCACAGCCAGACATTTGGATACAGGCAATACAAGAACCTTCCTTGCTCTCCATTTCTCACTCCCCCATAGGACACCAGCTTGAAACTGCTTCTCACATTGAGCAAGTCAAGACTTTAAATTCTTTCCTACCCCATTTGATAACATCTGGCTGCGTCTCCTTCATCCTACTCTGATGCAATCCACGGCAAGCTGGCTGGAAGCTGGATAATGCCTCAGCCTCATGGGGGTAAATGATGTGTGTGTGATAGGGCTGGAAGCATATTAACGGAAGCTGCACAGTTACACCCTTTGTAAAATGGTTTGATAATAGGCCAAATACTTAATAGCAACAAATGAACTAACCCCCAAACCAAATGAGCAGATCTATTTACTTAAGCCTGCTTTACATACCAAGTAGGAAGAGATAAGCATTAGAGCAGCTATTCTTAAAACGCACTGACTGAAGAATGTGGGAAAACCTTTACCTGGTACGTTTTGTAGAAAATGATGAATCATATTTTAAACAAAGGAGAAAAGAAGGCCCTACCTAATCCCATCTTAGGTGCAAGGACAGTGAAACAGCGAATTTCTGAGAAAGCTAATCAGACACTACCTGAATAAAGGGTCTGATTAACCAGCATTTCCTATGCAAGAGGACCACAGATCATGTCCTGAGGGACAACACAAGTAGTCCCAGAAGAATTTCATCTGGCATTTGGCACACTTGTTCTTTTTGCTCTTTACCTCCTCTCCAAACCTAGCAGGCGGGTGAGTCTTCTCTCTCAGCAGACTGGAAAGCCAAGAGAGCAGGAGCAGCAGGTTGACTAGTACAAGAGTCCTGCTGCCTCCATCACCGCCCTGCAAGTCCTGTGGTGGCTCTATGAGCACCACAGGTAAAGGTGCACTTCTTCTTCTGCTCTGGCTCTGGGCCAATGGCAAAAAGAACAGATTCTGGGGGATGTCTGTATAGGCAAGGATAGAGGGACAAGATGGGAAAGGCTTTGGTGGGATCCAAAGTGTCAGGTGTGCTTAACAGGAAATATGATGCTTTGGCAAGAAATAAAAAAGCTGTGTGGTACTGAAAGAGATTTTAGGGAGGGGTGGGCTGGACAAGAGCAGCATTGTTGCAACTTATGATGCAAGGAGTTGGGAGGGAACAAGAGGGAAGGAATAAACTGCATGGATAGTTACAATCCAAGTAAGCAGAAAAGCAGGGGCCCCAAGTCTGGGGGCGAATAAGAGACAGCACAGAGAGATGGATCTCCTCACTCAGGAGTAACAATAGAAGCACCTGATCTGAGCTATTACCACAGCCATGAATGCAAGTGAACAGAAAAGCACTCAGAGGTGGAGTACCACACCAGAACAGGTTCACTGCAACGAGTCACCAACCAGGAGCCAGGATGCAGACAGCTCTTTTAAAAGTATTACATAGGAACGGGAGAAAGAGTGAGAACAGCAATCTTGGTCTTGCAAGCAGACACACACAAAAAGCTCCTTTCCATTTCTGTATCTTGTACAACGGCCTGTAACATCAGCTGTTCCAACCTGGCAGGGTACAAGTCACCTTTTCTGCAACACTCACTGAACAGGTCAAACGCTTCCAGGGAGTGCGTGGTCCCAAAGGTACAATGTGCACAGTTCTCATGCAACAAAAGGAAGCCTGGAGGGATTCCACCATTGTAAAGTATAATCTTGCCCAGAGCACCTACTGGGGCAGGGCCGCATGCCGTTTGCACAACCGAGCCCTAGTTTTTTTCATCATTCCAAGTATATCTCAAGTTGTGTAACGAGTGCTGTATCACACTCCTGTTACAAATGACACAAGGAAAATAATGTGAAGTGCAAATCCGGCTGAATTGCTACTGGGCCATTTAACTCCAAGGAGAAGTGATGACAAACCATGTTCAGTGCTAAAATGTGATAATGAACTTGGAAGCAGGGAATTTGGATGAAAAGTTACTGGTTTATTTCCAGTTAGCACACACGTTGTTATCTTTTATTCACAGTGGTGAATTCTGGTCAGGCCCACTGTTGAGTAAATAGAAGTGCGACAAACAAGCTGATTTTTTGCTCCTGAGCTGCCATGGGAAAGAGACACAGAAGTTAAACCCTGAAACAAAGGGCATCTCACTTCAACAGGAAGTGACAAGCTTTAGACAGGTACCTCTCTGTCTTCACCTAGACAACAAGTAAGCACAATTTGGGTCTTGAGGATGATGAAGAGGGAGAAAGGGAGTAGAAAAGACACAATCCTCCTGCAGTGCTCCAAAATGGTACAAGAGAAGGATGATACCCCAGGGTGCAAGGGACACACAATTTTACCAAGATTTTCGTAAGTTGTATTATTTGTTTGTTTTACATTATGGGTTTTTTTCTATTTATAATACCTGTAAACAAAAATAGAGGTCACTTAGAAGCAGTTGTGCTTGTTTCTGTGGAGTAGACTAGTCAACCTGTAAGTATTTCACTCTATATTGTTTTAAGAGTATAGACACTGACTTTTCAGGCCCTTCGTCCAGGCCATTACCATTCTTTTCCTCTCTACGTGATAATTGTAAAAGGCCATAATAACATAGGTTACCAAAACCTTCAGTTAGTTTAGAATGGTTGCCCTTAATATTAACACCAAGGGAACATTACCATGGTTTTATGAATGCAGCCTCCAGCTGACTTAAAGAAACCCTCCTGTCAAAATTTAAATGACTCATGATTTTTGCAAGACACAGAGAATGTTTTAATTTACATAATTATACCTGTATAAACTATGCACTGACTGGTTCCCAATCTTGAGTTCACTTCGAAGTCTCCCTAAGGCAAAGGTGTCATATGTGACGAGAAACAGTTTATGAGTCTGCAAATGTGAAGGGCAAGAACAAAGAGCCAAATCACTTGTTCTTCGTACTGCAGAAATCCTCCCTACTGCAACACCCTCAGCAAGCACGAGCACACATTTTCAGTGGAACCTGAAGGAGCCGGTGCCACAGACTCCAAGTCCTCCTTTTAGGTTTGAAATGCTGCAATGGGAGTATTAACGACAACTAGCATTACCTGCAGCTACTATTACTATGTCAGCAAGCTGCGTATGGATCTTGAGCTGCTCTTTTGGGGTATATCTGTGAGTAATGGTCACTGTGGCATCACCTGAAATGGAACAGATTATCAATTAATTGCCACATATGAAATATTATGAAAAGTAGAACATTTACTTTCAGGTGAAAATTACTTACTTTGTTACATTAACAACAGAACAGATGATCATCGTATTTGTCTTGGGATGCAACACGTCGATGAGCATAGGCAGAACACTCACAACACTTACTGTTCACATATATGATGAAACATTTGTTCTTGGAAATTCTCACAGGATGTATTACTTTATACACTGTAGACTAAATTATTACTTTTGCAGCTTTGTTATGTTCAGTGGAATTACAGAAAGCAAACCCAGCATGGAATCCAGTGTCTGCTTTATCAAGCCCAATTTGTACAGGGTGCCACAAGACTCAGTTGTTTGTCACAAACCCAACCTTCAAACACAAGATCACCAGTAGAAGCAAGAGAAGCACATATCCTTCAGGGCAAACTCAAAACACCTGGGGGGCCCACTCCTGCACACACCCACACTTCTGGGCAAGAGCTACAAACAGCCCTGTGCTGATGGAGATCCCAAGGCCACGACACACAAAATGAACTGTAATGGGGAGAGGGTCTGAAATCTCCTACTGCGTCCAACATCAAGTGTGGTGATCCCTTAAGGACTGCCCAAGCAAGCAGCCAAGATAACAGTTCTCAGAGGAGTTCCCTCAACCCTCTTCCTGTCAACTATCTGCACTGCACAGTGTTCAGACATTACATCCCCCCATCTCTGCCTTCCATTCACCACAGACTCTGAAGCCACATTATTAACCATTAAGCTAAAACTTTTTGCTATCTCAGACATTATCATCACATCTGTCTCCTCTGGAATGTGTCTGACTGATCCAATATGTGCCTCTCATTAACTCCTTTCCTCACACATTTCATCTTCAACCTCTCCGTGCTCTGAATTCTCTGCTCTTTCCCCTCATCCCTTAGTCTCTATAGTGTACATCATCTCTTTAAAGGGAGGCAGATCAAGACATTTGCAGACAACGAGAACAGAAAAGTACAGGCTTGAAACAGGAGTCTTCTGATATCTGCTTTA